TTTACATGTTATTTTACAAAAAAATACATGAAAACAAAACAAAGACAAAAACAAGTGCAAAGCCAGAATCAAAACCCAAATCAAAATTAATAAGTAGGAACACAGACGCACTCACATGTTATTTTTTTTAGGTGGGTTGGTTGAAAAGGGGGGGAGGGGGGTTAAGGGGGGTCTGCGTACTCGCACTACAGTTTTGAGCATGGTGTTTGTGAACAGCCAATCAGTACTGTGCATGTTTGTGGTGTGTCGGCCTTCTCCTTCCCCTGTTACGCACATGTCCTCCATTTACTCCAGTCCAACATACCAGATCGACGATTTTATTTATATAAGGCATCACTGGCTGAACAGGCATTGGCGCAGTCTTACAACTAATTCTAATTCAACGTTGAGTACATCGTTTCCAAAACATGAGCGTTCGTATCCAGCTCTCACATCTAATTTCAATAGTACTTTAAAAATGTAATATCATGCATTACTTGCCTTATAAATTCCTGCTGTTTTGCATTTGCCATGATGTTCTTTCCACCAGCCATAAAAATGTCTTGAAATTCCTGTAGCAAAGGGAAAGAAAGAAAGTATAAATAGAATGGTAAAGCACAGAAACTGAGCTGATCCAATCCATATCATGTGGAAAATAGTTACTTAAGTTGCAAAACGTAATTTTCTTCCTGAACAGAATATTCTAACGAGACACATTGGCTTCCTTTAAATATCGGATTTAACTTCTATAGTTTGTATGTAATAGAATATGTGACGATGATTGGTTAGTACAATTCGTTAACAAAGTAGACCATCCACACTCTTTGTAGTGATACGTCATACCCATAATGAAATAAAGACAAGATATGTTAAAACTCATTGAAAACTCAAGAAACACAGAACACAAACGCTCTCACACACTCATACACTCTCTCTTTCTCTCTCTTTCTCTCTCCTTAGACCCCCTCTATCTCTGTCTCTGTCTCTCTGTCTTTCTGTCTCTCTCTGTCTCTCTCTCTCTCTCTCTGTCTCTCTCTTTTTTTTCTTTCTCTCCCGGACAAAATGAATAGATAGATAGATAGATAGATAGATAGATAGATAGATAGATAGATAGATAGATAGAGTTTGTCAAGAATGAATGGAAAGTATAACTGATTCGTTTAAAAAAGGTTTGGAATACCTACCTCACCAGAAATACTGAGCAATTCCACTTCTGTTTTTGAGCAGACTGTGGCTTGTCTCTTTGTGTTTGAAATCACTGCTAGCTCCTACGAAAATATCAACACAGCGATTGACGTGTACATGCTGAAAGGTAGCAATCTTTGTTCTATGTCTACTCTTTAATCAAATAATTCCTCCAAACAAAAGCCAAAAGCCCAGTTGGACTTACAGGGAATGGAGTGTGTTCATGAACAAGTAGCATTTATGTTAAAACTGATCAGTTTAACTGCTAACCGGCAAGCTAGGGATAGCATAACTTCATCTACGTTTCTGTTTGAGTTAATCCTTTTTAAAATTTTGTTACAGAGCTTTGTTTATTTGGGCACACCTATCGCCCCACAATAGCCGGGCAGTTTATTTGAAGGACTGGTACTGCACTGCGAAGGGCATCACGCCTTTACTTCTCTCAGTTGTTTCCTGTCGACATATTTATTGTCAGGAAAGAAAACTTGACAGAAGAAATCGTAACTAGACAAAAGTCGGACACATACAGTAAATAGGATGCAGTATAACATTATTGGCACCCCATTCACTGTTGGCAAAAATAAAGTTTGTCTCTTCCTGTGTCTATTTTGAGAAAACAGCATGCACTCTTTAAGGACGTAGCGCGCACATAATTTGTCCGATTAGAAGCAGACCGAATGCAATGTTGTGACACGCTTCGAATCATCGTATACAAATAAGAAACACGCATTTGCATAATTCATAGTTTACATGGTGTTGCCTGCCTGTTTAAGCGTCAGATAAAGGAAGCAGAATTTTAAAATTCTGTGAAAATAACGAAGTTATATTTCTTTTTTAAATTGCACACAAAACGGCGCGTATTTAAGCGTTGTCCAATGACCAGAATGCCCGTCTCCAAAGAGCATTTCTGAAAAGTTGTGAGCACGTTTTAAATGATAAGTACGAATTGTCCACCAAAATATCTAGGAAAGAAGAAATATTCATTTGGTATACGAAGACACAGTTGTAGAAGACAGTCATCATAAATGAGGAAGAAAAAAAAAGGGGGCAAAAATGTTGCATTTAGTTAGTAGAAGTCTCCACTCCTAAGATTTTAAGTCCATGCGCAGTGAAGGCTTACCCCGAAGGACATTCCTTTGTCAAGCTGAACCAATGTTCTGGACGTCCCGCTCTTTTCATCAAACGACGTTACCAAAACTGTTGAATAAAAATGTGTCATTTAAAAATTATTTAGTACTGGAAGAGTATAAAGATTTACTGAGCGCAAACTGAAAATGTGTGAGGTCTGTAACTTGACAAGTCATTCAGTTGAAAGAGCCATCCTGAACAGAATTTAGGTACGGAAAATACACGCCACACCAATACACTACTGTCATAGTGAGATTTCGATTCCTTTGATTTGTGGCTTAGGTCTTCCCAAGGGTTTGACATTAGGATGGTGTTTCACGTGTCAATTTGTTCAATAGTCTTGCTAGAATTAGCTAGAAATTTACGTTCATGCACTTATTAACTATTATTTTTGTAGATGGACGTTTTCTACAGATAACCTCGAGTTTGCTCAATCCAAAATACTTCAAAAATACCCTTCAGATAACGGCACTCAGACAACACCTGCCGTCATCTCCAACATCTGCCTGTTCTTAAAGTCGGTTCATAACTGTTAACGAAGTTATTTTCAGACATATTATGTGCATTCTTAGTGTGTTGCGCGAAATAAAACTGGATGCGAAGGCTTGGGTCTCTTTTTGACACATGGAATCTTTTAACGTATAACGTTTTCTGTGTGCCTCATTATAAGTTTGATTGAAATGCGCCTCTGGTAGTTCCAGGTTCTTTCCTATTCCTCTTGTGTCTCTTTTTGTTTGTTTATATTTGTAAAGTGTTTTACGGCGCTCGCAACTGCATAAGGTCATATGAGCGCGCGGGACACACCTAATATTTTCAGGTGGTAGGAAATTTTGAATTTTGCCCGGGTGGCGGCCGAAGCCGACTCTTATCGATTTTAGACCACCAAGGGATCTTTAACGTGCGCAACTTGCACACGGGCCCTCCGAGATTTTTCGCCCTTGTCCGAGAAGGCTAGGTGTAGATCTTTCCTACCAGAAGATCAGGGGTGTGGCAGAAAGACAGCAGTAAGGAGGAGCCAAAGAGTAGCAGTAGATCTTGTGTCTCTGTCTATCTTTCTGTTACCTGGCACCAGTTGACCTGTTTTGTGTTAATGAGTTTCTTTAGCTTTAAAATAAAAGTAACCATGACTCTGTGTATCATCGATTGTTCAGGTATCATTTACAATGTGCTGTTGTTTCAACACTCCTAGACTATTAATGTGGACGGTCGATACGCAAAAAAAAAATGCGTTTCATCAAATCTTCTCAGAAAAAAATGTGTTTCATCTGATCACATTGGAAATAAATGCGTTTTAACAAATCTAAAATGCTAATTTATTTTTTAAAAAGATGGCTTTCGACCTGTAGAATTCATTAGTGGAATAAAAAATGTTCACGTCAAATGAAAAAAAAACCCCAACGTTTTATTAGATCACGGCAGTTTTACTGGCATAAAGAAGGAAAGAAACAAGGGAAATAATCTTCATTAAATTAACCATTGAGCGATTTTACGTTCATTACCTGCCCCTGATAGAATGAAGTAAAAAGAACTCGGAGGATCTCCTTCTCGTAAGACAACTCTGCGAGGCTCGAATCTGAAACAGACATTAATTTTCTCAAAGATTGTTCACTGGTATTCCAAACTCATATTTAAGAAATGAAACCAAAAAATACCTATTGGAACATTCACAAAGCGCCTAAAAACTAGATGCTTTGTGGTTAAAGGGAGTGTATTATCTTGTGAACAATCTGTGCGTCTCTCAAGAAATAGAAAATACACAAGGGGGCAGTATTTTATATTTCAGTAAGTGCTCCACAGTGTAATAAACGAGTGGTGACAAAAACACACGTTTAGCAGAACAGGCAAACTACTCATGGATGACTTCAAAGAATCAATATGTTAAAAATAAAGGCTTTAAAATTGGCGAGTTTGAATACTGTCTCGTCTTCCTAAATTCAGCACATTTCAAATTAAGAACCCAACAACTCACGTCTCAAAGCCTCCGACCCGGCACAGCTGACGTTGCATCTTCTTTGGATACTCTGCAAAGGCTGGGATATTCCGCAGCGCAACTAGAAGCTGGGGGTTGAGGGCGGGATGTGCGTATGAGATTTTACTGGAAATTATGCCTTACTTTATTTGTTAAAGAGACAGAGTGACTCAGACGTGACATTATGACAAATGATATGAGGCACACACTATGACACACAATGTGTGACATGCATTATGATACCTATCACTTTTTTTCTTTGTCTTGGCCATTGATTGACTGGTAAAGGAAACCACCAGAGGACACAGGAGTGGTCTACAGTGGACCCCATGGACACAGTTGGACGATCTGGACTTTGTGAACGACTTGGTGCTTTTGTCGCACACCCAGGAACGGATGCAAGAAAAGACTTCAGTTTTAAAAAAGCTTATCACAGTCTGTTGGATTGAGGATCCACCCCGGAAACTAAAAAGTCCTAAGGATACATGCACAACGAAAGGAGCAGGTCACAACAGAAGGAAATGCACTAGAAGACGTTGAATCCTTCTGCTAACTTGGGAGTATAATTGGCAGAGAGGGAGGAACAGGTGCTGAAATAAAGCCCCTTGGAAAGGCACAGGCTGCTTTTCTATCTTTGAATAGGATTTTGAGGACCAGGGATATCTCACTTCGAGCAAAAGCTGAAGATTTTCAATTCAAATGTGAATGTTGTATTGATAAGAGACACGGAGCTCATATCAGATCAGACTTGCATAAGCAGGATCCAGGTTATCTTGAACAAGTGTCTACAAGAAAGTTACTGAGGATCATCTGGACTGACAAGGTCACCAACGAGGAAATGTAAAGAAAAACGAGACAGATCCCTGTGAGAGATGAGGTAAGAAGAAGGCGGTGGCTATGGATTGGACATAGCTGTCAGGAAGTCAGGTAGCTGCATAACAAAGAAAGTATTGGATAGGAATCCACAGTGTAAAAGATCAAGAGGAAGACCGCGTGAGACCTGGAAAAGAATCACAGAGACTGATGTACAGGAAAGGGGGAAGACATGGAATAACATCAAGAGTCTAGCCCAGGATAAACAAGGGTAGAAAGTGTTTGTTCGTGGCCTATACTCTAATGCAGGGTGAGAAAGGCAATGATGATGGTGATGATTATGATGAATAATTTGTTACTGACACTATGAAACACAACATGTGACAAACATTATGGCACACAATATATGATAGACACTATGACACACGATATATAACAGACACAATGACACACAGTGTGCGGCAGGCAATATGAAGTATAAGATGTGAAATAGTATAGTCTTAACTATTAAGTTATGTAAGAGATCATGGTGAGGGGTACTTGCGAGTTCAACATCTAACTCAGAGAGGATTGAGCCAAATAGAACATTCATGTAAGTGCCTTTCCCAAGAACACAATGTGGGACCAAGTTGGGGTTTGAACCCCAGAACCCGCAATCTAACTATTACAGATCCAGTAGCCTAACTGCTAGACCACCGACACCCTCTAGTACAAGACGTGATACTCCGTGACGTATGCCTTAAGTAGGGAAAGCTTTTCTGAATTCTCATAATATTAATAAGAGAATCTATCTATCTATCTATCTATCTATCTATCTATCTATCTATCTATCTATCTATC